CAGATATTTGACATTTCACATCTCTGTGATGCTATGAAATAATCTGCTGGAACAGTTTAATAAGCCAGAATTAATATAGCACTTTCCTAAGAAAATGTAAGAGTATTTTCCTGCTGAAACTGGAAGAAAAATGTTCCCCCTGAACAAATCACAGAGTATAGCACAAGTGGGAACTTTAGCCACAACATTGTCAAAGTATAAAAGTTAAATAACTTTAGGGGTTTTTTTCCATGTGTCAAAGATGTATGAGGCAATTCCTCAAAATAGCTTGCCTATACACTTTGTAACACAGACTGGAATTTCCCTTCTCCTCCTGCACTCTCATTTCACCTCTAAATTCAAACCCTGACGAGCACAATTTGTACAAGACTGTGACACTATAGCAACACTTTGGATAATTCTACTGTGTAGTTAAACATACATATGTTCAAAAAGATACTTAAATCAATGTGATAGATTTTCAAATGGTCTTGTGGTTCATGTTGCCCACATCGTGTTATTGCATTTATTGTTTATTTTAGAGAAATATTTTTCGCAATGGTACAAAAGGATGAAGTCATGCTGCTCACAGCATTCACTTATTTGTTCAGATACTACAAGGACCATTTTTAAAATCCTATATTCTGTTACTCAAACATTAGTTTCTTCAATCCGCTGGGGAACCAATGCCAGACAAACAACACTGCAAATGACATGTATGCCAGAAAACGAGTGCATCTCTGTGACTACAAGCTGATCTAGCAGCTGACTTACAGCTTTTCACTTTAATATTATTCATCTTTATAACCATTTGTATTTTATTCATGAGTTCTAAATTTTTCAGAAACTAGAACAAGTAATACAGTGTTATCCCGACGTATTGTACAGCTGCAAACACTGCCTATTAAATCTGAAGTAATTGTCCTCTGCTTTGTCTTTGCCTGAGGTCCTACCCTATTAATTCTAATAGTAGCAGGCTTTGGGGGTTTCTTTGTCCGGACACTTTTTTATTTAATTCTTACTTAATAAATTGTTCCAGAGTCATGTGCTGTTAGCAGCCTCTGTCTCAAAAAAGTGTCTGTTTTCCTGTAGCTTTTGCCTGGAATATCAGTTTAATCACAAGTAGTTTTCAAGTAGTCTCAAGGTTTACCTGCTTTGCCAGACCTGCCTACATATACAAATGACTATCAGGTTTTGAAAGACGTAATTCGTGTCTTTCCTTAAATGTCACTGCCATCTGCACTTTTACTGTCCAGGTACATGACATTTTTTTTTCTTTTCTTCCTTATAAATGTCATTGCCTCTTTTGATCAAGTTGTTCTTGCTCACCGCTGGTGTGGCAGCAGAGCTGGGCACACCATCCTGCTCCCAGCTTCAGTCCTGAGCCTCCCACAGCACCGTTAGCCCAGCCAGAAGCTACGAGTTTCTGGAACGCAGCTATTGCTATCAACCCCCAAATTCTGGGCTGCCATCATGGCCCAGCCCTCAAGCCATGCTGTGTATTTAAGAGGTAAGGGCTAAGCAGTTCAATGTATTCCCACAGTCTTGTCTCTCTGCTTAGACAAGTTGCAGTAAAGCCACCACTTATTGCCGATATTGATTGACTGTTTTGATACTGATATCCACTTAAAACCTACTGCTGCATGAACATAAACTGTCACAAGGCACTGGGAAGAAATGCCAGTCTTCCACCAATTTGGGCTGGCTGGTAACCAGTAAAATAAATGTAGAAAATTGCATGTCCTAACTACTCAGTGTGTGTGCTGCCTGGGTCTTCAAAGCAGCATCTAAATCTGCTGAATGTGTAAAAATACACCATTTCACTTAGGTGTTTGACTGGGTAAGGTGATTTGTGTGGTGATTTGCGCTAATTAATTTAGGCATTTCTTTAAAAAATCCCATGCAACTTTTAAATAGAAATTGAGAAGGTGAAAAGGGGAAAAGCCAGTGAAAGCCCTGCGGCTTGCAGGCCCACCATACCATTCTGCTCCTCTGAGGCCAGCAGTCATGTCAGAGGTCTGTTCTTCATCTTGCAGTCATCACATGTTGAATGTCCTAGAAGGCAATGAAGGAAAACAAGCACCACAAGCACTTCACTTCCTCGGTTTAACAGAAGGTTTACCTGGTACATACGGATCAGGGGTGAATTTACATTGTCTTTCCAGGCTAACTGCCTGGCATAGATGGCTTCATGGATTCACTGCTATCATTGTTCATCTCCTGAAAGAAAAAGTATTTTCAGTTATGTTGCTAGAGTCAGGTTTCCAAAAGTATTGAGTCATGAATCCATTCAGTCATGACTCCACATTCACTGGCTTTGAATTAATTGCAGTGAGAAAAGAAGGCCAAGAATTTGTTGAGGGTTTTTTTTTAAATTCCCAGATGTAAGAAATACTATTAACCAAACCCTAAACTTTTATTGCTAAAAGGAGTGTACTGGGGAACTTATCACAAATTCTAATGAGATTTCTTCCATCTCCCCATAAAATTTGGAGGGACACTGATTTTAAGCTACCTTTGATGAGGTTGCATTTTTAACAGAATATATTCCTTGACATAAATAGTCATGCTCACAAAGGAAGACTGTTTTCACTATGGCTACTGGACCTCAGGATGTGTCCTTTTAGTCAAAATAGGGGCAAGTGAGAAGATCAAGTGGATGAAGTACTCAGCTAAAAGCTGATCTCTTTGAAGACACTTTAGAGTGTATGTGGACCACACTGTTCCATATATTAGTCAAAATGTTTCCCTCCACTCCAAATAAGCATAATCTTAACAGGTAAATAAACACTAACATTCCCACATAGGTCTGTTGTATGCAAGTGAAACCAGGATGTGTATTGGACTAAGTTATCTGAGTTTCGAAATGTTCCACTCTAAATCTCAGTCAGACACTTTGCTATGTGTCTTATATTCCTTACTGGTTTATTCACCTACAGTTCTTGTGCATTTAGATTATAATTTCAGAGGGTTTAGAAGCCATCCCTAACAAAACATCTGGTATTCTTGAAGATATTTTGTCCTGGTACCTTCAAGTGTTAGCAGTCACATAGACATCATTAGTTTGCATTTGGTAGAAGCAACTGTGCAACCAAATGAGTTGCTTAGAAATTCAAAACAATACCAGGCAATAGTATTAAAACTGCTGTTGTATATAAAGTTTGTAAAAAGTTTAAAAGAAAAAACTACTATATGAAAGAGCATTCTCATAATACTCAACTGGAACTGCAAACACAACTTACATGAAAATTTTGAAAGTAGCTGACGTTTACATAGCTGTTGTCTACTAAAGCCTTCTCCCAGCAAAAAGCAAAATAAAATTACTAGCACTGTTGTCTTGGACGAGTATTTTGTATTATTACTATATTATAGTTTGGAATTGATACGAGTCTTAAATCCCCTGGTACAATAGAGAGTGATCTCACTTTCATGACCTTTGCTGGCAGTGCCAGTTATACAAGCTCACAAATCTTACAGCTTACCCCTGAGAATACCACGAATTCAGACCTCTGCTGCCTTCGTGAAAATGGATATTTCCTGGTTTGAAGACTTTATTACATGCTGCATAGAAAAAATATACGCATTTCATACTAAAATCAACAGAAAATCCGTGCACTCCGCTGCACTAAACTGCACATAATTTAACCCACTGTTCTCTTTGAGCTGCATTAAATTCCAGTTTAGCTGTGTCCCCTTCAAGGTACTGCACATCTCTCTTACTCATCCTTTGTCTGCTACATAATTTCTTTCTGATTCTCCGTCTGCAAATTTTAACCCATGTGGCCTTTGGCTGTAGCATTAGAGATGCTTTCTGGCTACCCTGAATTACCTTTCTGGCTACCCTGAAATTTTATCTTATCAGGTTTTTTCTGAACCAAGAGGAGTCTGAAGCAGTGAGGACGCTCCTTTCTCTCGAGCCTGTTTAGATCATATAGTGCTTGCATGCACTTGCCAGTTCACATTCTCTGCTTCTATTATTGCTGACTGCACTGACTATCACCAGCCAGGAGGCTCTGTCTAGTTTAAGGAAGATGCTTTATGTTGCCATCACTAGACAAAAGAGCCTAAAGTTTTTAAAAAATCCACCTGAGCACCTTTTGAATCTCCTCTTGATCATGCTGTACAGAATTAGACAAAACTCTGCAGAAGGAGAACTCCTTTCAGTGATGTGGAAAGAATGATGCTCTTCACTGGCACGTGTGGGGAGAAAGATGCAAATTCTCCAGCCTAATTTCTAATAACGCATACAACTGAGGGGGAAAACTCCCAGTACTGTGATACCAGATGCCAGATACACTAAACTGCACATACCTGTAACAAACACAGCATCTCGATAACACTCTACAGAAAGGATGTGTGCATGGTGGTACTTGGTCAAAGGTTGGACTTGATGGTCTTGCAGGTCTTTTCCAACCTTAATGATTCTATGAATCCATAACCTTTCCCATTCATCTGTCTTCTCCTGCATGCTCAGGAGAAAAAGTGGGGTTTGCAGGCTCTCTAAAGGCCTGGAGTCTGGGACATTAGTGAAGGAGTGAGCCCAAGGTCAGTGAAAGAGTGCAGAGAGGTGCTTGCCAGCACTCCTCCTCTCTTGACTTGAGCTTGAGTCTTCAATTGTACAAACTGTGTATTTCTCTCACCCAGCCTACATGTCTTTTTTAGGGTGCTGGAGGAGCTGGTGTGTGTAAGAGGGAAGTCAGAGAGCTACTGAAGTACAGACACAGACCTGTGAGTCTGAAGTGTTCCCGTGCCCATCAGTACAGTCATAGGAACATCCATGTAGGCCCAGAGCCTTAAATAACCTGTTCCCCAGGTCACTGAAAGGTTCATTCATGACCACGGGCCAACTGGTGCATTTGCACTTCTCTGTGATATTCACTGTGCAATGAGGCACTCACATGCTGAGAAGTAGCCTCTCTGTCAGGGTGATTTTTCTCTGAAGGGACTCTCCATGCTTTGATCAGGGCTATTGTGAAAGGGACATCAAATTTGCAAAATGAAATGAAATGAAGACATGCGATGTTTGACAGCCTGCACAATTCACATCAGAATTTTCTTTTTCTGTACAGTAGTTGCTAACAGGAACATAACAACCTCCTACTGTTTTTGTGAATGTTTAGTCTCCGAACAGCACCAAGACATTGATGAGTGATGAATAGAAGCTCCTTTCTATTGCTCTGAAACTCCACTGGTGTATCTGTACTGTATGGGACAGCATTTTGTCTGGCTGATACCCAGTGCTTGATGAATCTGCACATGGGATGCAACACAAATGGGAGAAGCTGGATAGGAGTTAGACATAAGCACTTCCCATGCTCTGAGTTCATTAGCAATGTGAAAAACATATAGAATTATTGTGTGTTGATTTCTCCTCCCAGCCCTCCCCCAACTGTCAGTCAATGAAAAATGGGGGGATGGGGCATGTTTTCACCTACCTAGGGAGTCGTAAGTAGTAGAGAATCTGTGCAGTTATGATGCCAGTGCAGGAATCACAAGGCAAACTACTTCAACCCAATTCAGGACATAATGGCAAAGCACCTCTTCAGAAAAGATGGAAGATTTCTCTTGTTAGGAATGGGGCATCCAGTAATATTCAAATGATTGTGTGCAGACTCTTCTGGAAAGAAAACAAATGCACATACAAAGTTCTACAAGGTAAATCCAACTAGATTGCAATTGTCTGGTTTTGGATTAAATATCTGATTCCTTTCATTTAGGGCTTGGGGTGTGGGCTTGTGGGGGCTTTTTGCTACCCAGAGCAATTTAGTTCCAATATTCAAATTGAAGAAATTCATTAAAAAGCACATGCTCTGAAATAAGCAAATACAGGGAACGCAAAATTGTTATTTGTTGCCCTTTTTCCCAATAACAGTTATAAGCTCCTGAAAAATAACAGTGTCTGAATCTCATCTGTGAGAGAAAAAAGACTGTAAAGTCTTTTTAGGAATACTCATAGTATTTGTGCATTAAAATTTGCCAAAATTTTATAAAATAAGATGAAAATATGGAGTATGAGACCTTTGAAGTTCTTTGGTGACTATAATGAGTGTTAACAGCAGATCAATATGTCTGAAGGCTGCTCTGAAGTTCCATAAAATCCCTAGGAATGTAGTGTCTATAGGCCTTGGCAGTCCTGCTCACAGTGGTGCGGGACAAGGATGCAGAGCCAGGAGAGCCAGGCTGACAGAGATCCTTACACAAAACCTCTCATCTGTAGAGCTGAGGCTGAAAGGATTTCTTTCCATGTTCAGGCCATAACTAAGCAGAGAAATGTGGTACTGTGTTACAACAGGGAGCAAAATAGGAGCAAAAATATTTTGTCTTACTAGTGAAACTTCATTGATTTCCAGCAGTTGGGTAAAAAATGAAAGGAAAATCAGGCAAACGAAGGCTCATCTCCTTTGTGTTACAATGGTGGTTGAAAATTTGTGTTTTAAGCACTGAAACCTAAAGGGAGATCATCAAAAGTCACCATTCTGGAAAAGAAAGACAAATGAAATTGCTGCATCTAATCATTTTTCCTCATCAGTCTTGTCTGACTGAGATGACATTTTGAGTATGACAGAAATATATTCTGTTCTTGTTGTAAGACTCTCTGCTATAACAGACTTTGATATAAATCTGTGCTATCATGCTTCCTTGTGCCATTAAAACTCATGACACCCTGGTTACAACAACATAATTTGCAACATTCTGAAGTCAATTGCAGATATTGCTGTACAGGGTTGTTTACTATTATTTTCATATTTTCCCATATTGCATACATAATGTGATTCTGGTCTTTACATATTTAACTTTAATAAGTAGCTTTCCATTTTAATCTAAATGATTGAACATTACTTAATTTTTCAAGTCCAATTCTTCCAAACAATTCCAATAGCTTAAAATATGACTTATAAAACTGTTGAGAGTGAATGGCATGAACAGCCTTACCCATGTCAGAATTTATGAAGCTCAGCTATTTGGATCTGGTTTATGCCACCTTTATGTGTGTCCCACATAAAAGCAATCTAATATGCAGCACAGCCTCTGCCCCCAGGATCACAAGGAAGTGTCAGGGCTCCACCTCCATTCCCTTTACACTCCCTTCTGAAAATCAGGCTCTTCACAATATCTCCCACTTACATGCTTTTCATTTACTTACAAACCCTTAAGTCTTATTTGCTCTCTTTTACACCTCTTTATACTTAGCCCAAAAAAGATCAAAATGCAAAAAAAATGGAAACCTGAATAAGATCGAGGAGAAAGAGGATAAAATAAGTACATTTTTATCAATTTTGTAAACCTTTCCTTAAAATTTTTTGGACTGACAAATCTCTTACTTTAAATGCAACCTTTTAAGAATTTCAGGGTTTATTATGGATGGAAAAAAAACACGTGCCCTCAAACCCACTGTGCCTGAGGAGAGAAATAAGAGTTTAAACAGGCAGGGGGAATTCTGCTTTCATTATTCCTGCCTTTTTTTCCTGGGGAGAAAACAGGGAAATATTTCTGCTGCCTCTCCATTTCCTCTTCTGTTTTAGTAACTGGCCACTGAAAAAAGATGAGGAGCTGGGAGCAGAATTTCACATGAAAACAAGGCCTAGTTCTTTGAGGTGGACATCTTCTTGTGAAACATCTCATGCCCCAGAGTTCAGCATTGGCAGGCTGCAGCACAGGTGTATGAAACAAGCAAGGGAAGAAGCACAGTCACCATGCATCATTTCTCAGCCCTCTAAGAGTACTCTAAGAGTATCTTTCTGAAATAAACCACTGGCTACCTGATTGAATGTTGCTGTGTTGGTTTCCATTATGAATGCTGTCACACTCTGCTTTGATTGCCCCCCCCATTTTAGTACGAGAGGACTCATGCATTGATTTAGAGCATTTTTTTTTTTTGCAATGGTTGTATGAGCAGTTTTTTCAAACATAGATGTGATAGATAAAACATGGCCACTCTTCAGAAACGCATCTGCTATCTAACTCAGCTCACCTCAGGCATGGGTTTGGAGGCACCTGAAGCTTCATTCCATAGGGAGAGAGTGCATCCTTGTTTCAAATTTTTGGAGTACCAATCCAGCTCTTCACAGACCAAGCCTGTCTCCTGTTTCATTTTTCTCATCTGGTTATGACTTTCAATTAAGGGATTAACATAATGGTACAAGATTTCATCCAGGTGCAAGCGAGTTCCATAAACTTCCTAGTATGTGATGGTTCTGGCGAAGGGAAAAAAAGTCGCTTTTAAGCAAAACACAGAGAGGACAGAGTACAAATGAAATGCAGTGCTGGTCAGGGCACATGAAAGGCAGAATCCATGCTTTTTGAACCCATCAATTTGCAGACACACTGTGACCTTTATTCCATCATCTGCCTCTCTCAGTGCTCCGTGGCTCTGCTGTGCAAGGCAATACAATCTGGAAGTGAATATCACCTTCTACTTGACCTGATCACCTTGCTCAGGATGAGGTGCTTTGAAAGAATTAGGATCTCCCAGATGCTTTCAATATTTTGAGTCCATTTTCGGTGGCTGATCAAGTCAAACACACAACAGTGCTGTAAACCTCCTTCATTTGTGGAGGAGATTATTAGAGGGCAAAATTTGAAAGTCCTGCTGCACTTCTTCATCTTTCAGCTGCAGAATAGAGGCTCTTGAGCAAAAGGGTGTCTCCAGCTGGCTGCAGCCTTGTAGGGACCATGGCTGGCCAGCACCATCCAAACTTTCTTTCATTGCCAAAGTGCCCCATAAAAACACAAGGTAGGCAGTGAGAACTAGAGAAGAACTGGCACAACTAAGCTAGTTTAAAATATGTTTCAAATATTTCATTAAATGCCCAAAGTGAGATTTATGCTCACCATCCATTCCGAAATATGTATAACCATTTATCCAATGTCATATACTGGAAACTAGCACTTTTTTCGAAGCAAATTGTTCTGCATTCACTCAAAACATGCCCTGGTTACAATCACATAGGATCTCATAAATAACTCATTCCAGTGTGAGTCCTGTATGTTGGAAATATGCATTAAACCTAATTCACAATCTTTTGTGATAGAGAAGACAAAGTAGTTTGGTAATTTTTCTTGCTGATTTTTCATATTAATGGGCTTGAGTCTGCAAAGGCACGTATTAATGTAGAGTACATATGTATTTACAACCATTTGAGGGCCTAAATGGTTTTCAAAATGTTTAGGAAAGACCCAAAAGCTTAACCGTTCACGTTCAAATCTACATAATTTTCTTTATTATTTAAAGGTCATGTTTAGTTCAATCACAATAATAATCTGCTGGTTTAAAAGTTAACCAGCAGGGGAAATGAACTCAACTCAAAAGAGAGATTTATAAGTCAGAATAACAATTTATTAAAATAATACAATAAGTACAATTATACAGACAGACAAGTGGTTTTAACCCACAAAACCCAAATGTATAACCCAGCACCCTGGGGCAGGAACAAAAGTGGTGCTCCTTGGCCCCCCGAGTCCAAAGTAAAGGGAGAGGGGAAAAACCTGCTGGTGGGAGAGCTGTTACAGTCTGGTCAAAAGTGGTGATTGCAGTCCAGTTGAGGGTGGTGGTCTCAGTCTGGTTGAGAGCGGTGAGCTGCAGTCTAGTTGAGAGCGGTGGTCTGCAGTCTTCCTCTGGATCCCACGAGTGGTGCAAAGGTTCCAAAACTCCCAGTTTATATATTCTCCAGTTCAGGCGGGAGTGCTCAGTCCCTTCCTCAGAGTGGGGAATTCCATAAAAGGGTATCAGGATACTCAGTCCCTCCCTCAGAGAGGGGAATTCCATAAAAGGGTATCAGAGCGGGGAATTCCATAAAAGGGTATGAGGACAGGAACATCTTCCTACCTCGCAGGCCTCTACTGACAACAGTTTCTGGGAAATGGCATGGAAGGCTATAGAATACACAGTTTTGGGTTACACCCATCCAGTGATGAATTGGTCCCAGCCGTTCTAACCAGGACATAATCAATCAACATAAGCTCCAGATAAGGACTGTCTGACAGATGGATATTAGAAGAAAGTTCTTCTTCATGCATGTTTTAAAAATTTCACCATTAATCTTGCCATGGAATCTCAGTTAAATGATTGTGGAATATGACATCAAAGTTATCTAGTGATTAGCAATGCGACTTATTTTCTGACAAGTACAACATTGTCATTTTTATCTGATGGTCATCACATCTTCACACAAAAATAGTTCTCTATTTTTCTTCTCTCCCGTTTTTTACCCCCTCCTCGACTACAGTGCAGATTTGTATTCTTGGCACTCTCATCCCTGTTAGGAAAGTCCAACTGTCATTTTGTCCCCAGAAGCAAAGTAAACGCTGCCTTAAACTGATAACAACACAATTTAGCTGCCCCGTAAACAGTAATTTTAACTCCGGTAGCCCTGCACGCGCCATGCGGGTCCCCGCTCGGCTCGGGGGCTGCTGCAGGCGCTGCGCGGGACGCCGCGTCGGCCCAGCTTCCGCGCCGCGCGCGCGGAGCGCGCGCGGTTTTGGACCCCAGGCAAGGCCGCAGCAGAAGAAAGGAGAGAGAGGGGGAGCCCTGCCAGCTAGTACTGCACCCACGTGGAAGATGAGAGCACAGCTTCGGAGCACACAGAGGTTTGCCGTTCCAGGTTTGGGGAGGGAGGGAGAGGGGGAGGGGGACGGAGCTGAGGGAAGGGTGTTGAGCTGGCCATGGGGGTCCTTCGACTGGCGGGTGGGAGAGCAGGGCTGTCCCGTATGAAACATCACATCACATGTGAGCAGTACGCCTGGAATTTGTGGTAACACAGTGGGGGAAGGATAAGGTCTGGGTGGACAGAGGGTTCTTTTGATTGATGGGGGTCCCGGCCAGGCTGGGGCCTTGTAAGGTACCTCAGCCTTGGACAGGTACAGGGGCCAGAACGGTTGATCGGTTGGTTTGTTTGTTTGTCTATTTATTTCTTTTGTTTTGGCTCTCCTGCGGCTACTGCCCAGGTTCGGCATGTTCTGGATATATTTGCTTTGCTCTGTTACAACCTGATAGAGTGGGCAGGACAAAGGGCTGTTACTGGAAATAAAAGACTTGCCCAAATCGTTCTAACAGGAACGTAGCCTATGTACCCCTATGTGGTTGCGAGCTATGCTGGCGAGGGTTCATGCCCTCGGTAGGGTCGCCCATGCCAGACAGGTCAAAACCATAGGACCAGATAAACTACATCCCTGGGCAGGATGAGCTCGTTAGCCTTCTGGCAGTCATCCTAGGAGAAGGACAACTCTCATCCCAAACCCGGGCAGATGGAGCTCGCTTAGCCCTGGAAGGCCATCCATCTAAGAGAAGGTCACTCTAATCAAACCTACGTCCTGACGACCTCGCTGCCACCGTCCAAGCTTGCTCGGCCCTGGCAGATGAACCTCAGGATTAAAGGGTGGGTTCAGTTCCGCGCATACTGCATCTCACCTAAAAAATCCATTGCGCAGGCTTGAAGGCTTTACCCACATGCAAAAAGTCCTGTAGCGACGGGCGAGGGTCGAAACGGTAGGTGAAAGATGCACTGGGAGCCGCAGACTCAACCCTGCATACAGGCGGTTCAGGATATTGGTCATTTGAGACTGACGGAGATGAGAGTCTCTTGGGGCAGCACCCTGAACGACCAAGCAGCCTTTTCAAGGACAGCACTGCTTGCTCCACTCGGAGAGGGGCCTAGAAAAGGTGGCCTAAACAAAGCTCATCTCCACCTTCACCCGGTTGGTTAACCGCAGACCAACGGGCATCTTCTTCCAATGCGGTCGCACAAAGAGCAAAAGACAAAGGCATGCACCTGCCTCCAAAGGTGTACTCAAATTAACTCTAGCATGTTGGAACATCAGAACCATGCTCGATTCTGCCAATAGTGGACGTCCTGAGCGACGTTCTGCCCTAATTGCCCATGAACTGGCTCGTCTCAACATCGACATTGCTGCTCTCAGTGAAGTTCGCCTTCACGAGGAAGGCAGCCTCAGAGAACATGGTGCCGGTTACACACTCTTCTGGTCAGGTAAGCCCAGAACCGAAAAACATCTCTCAGGTGTCGGCTTCATGATCAAAAACTCCATTGTCCCTAAACTCGAAAATCTGCCGACAGGTCACTCTGACCGCATTATCTCCCTACGCCTTCCACTAAACAACAAGCAACACGTTGTCATCTTCAGTATATATGCCCCAACTCTCCAAGCTGACCCTGCTGAAAAAGATAAATTTTACACTGACCTGCGCTGTCTTACCCAAAAGGTGCCCGCAGATGATAAGATCATTATCCTTGGTGATTTCAACGCCAGAGTAGGTAAGAATTTTGAAGCCTGGAAAGGAGTATTAGGCAAGCATGGTGTTGGAAACTGCAACGATAATGGTCGACTTCTGCTAGAATTCTGTGTGGAGCAACAGTTCACCATCACCAATACTATCTTTCAGCAGAAAAATAGTCTGAAGACAACCTGGATGCACCCCAGGTCTAAGCATTGGCACCTCATTGATTATGTCTTGGTGCGACGGAGAGATGTCCGCGATGTCCTCCATACCCGCGTGATGCCCAGCGCAGAATGTCAAACAGACCATCGGCTAGTGCGCTGTAAACTCAACCTTTATCTCAAATTCAAACCCAAGAGGGGCAGTATCCCAAGGAGAAGACTCCAAGTTAACGATCTCCAATCAGCCACAGTAAGAGAAAGATTCCAGGCAAACCTTCAAACTAAGCTTGATAACCATTCCACAGATTCTGCAGTTTCCTCTCCCGAAACAATTTGGCAGCATATTAAAAGTAGCATCCTGCAATCCTCTGAAGAATCCTTAGGGTTCTCCCTCAAGAAGAACAAGGACTGGTTTGATGAAAATAATCAAGAAATCCAGGAATTGTTGAGGAAGAAGCACACCTTGCACTGCCATCCTGTCACGCTAGAAAAACAGCCTTTCGTCTTGCTTGCAGCAAGCCCCAACAGAAACTCCGTGACATCCAGAACAAATGGTGGACCGATCTAGCTGCAAAAACTCAACTATGTGCAGATACAGGGGATCACAAAGGATTCTATGAGGCCCTGAAAACAGCATACGGGCCTACGTACCAAGTCCAAAGCCCACTACTCAGTGCAGATGGTCAAACGCTTCTGACAGATAAAACCTCCATTCTGAATAGATGGTCTGAACACTTTCAGACTCTTTTCAGTACCAACCGTGTAGTACAAGACTCAGCAATTCAGTCCATCACACAACAAC